ACCAAGCTCCTTGAGCTCTGACCCCTTGGGTCCGAGTACTCGCTTCACTGGGCTCCCAGAGCTCTGACCCCGCAGGTCACCAGTATTCATCATGACTGAGCTTCCAAAGCTCTGATCCCTTGGATCCTTCGTACGGTACATCTCTGAGCTTCCAAAACTCTGACCTCTTAGGTCTTCAGTACTCTGCATCACTGAGCTTCCAAAGCTCTGACCTCTTAGGTCTTCAGTACTCTGCATCACTGAGCTCTCAAGGCCCTGACCCTTAAGGTCTGCAGTAATTCTCGGCGGTGAGCTGCCAAAGCTCCAACCCCGTAGGACTTCAATGTCCCTTATAGCTCCTTGAGCTAGCTGATAGCCAGCGACTGCCTTTGCGGCTAGGTTGGCTATATTATTACCTCTGCTCAGCTGAGTGTCTGTTTTCTGATGTCCTTTACACTTAATGATGGCCACCTGTTTGGGCAATTTCAAAACTTGTTCAAATTCGAGTAACTGTTGTAAATGTTTTACCGGACAGCCAGTTGAAGTCACAAATCCCTTTCTCCTCCAGTGACACAAGTCTACGTGTTCCGTGTACAGCGTATGCAGAATCTGTGTAAATGTTCACCACTTTATCTTTTGCCAACTTACATGCTTGTATGAGAGCAATGAGCTCAGCCATCTGTGCTGACCTTGGCTGTGGGATTACATCAGCTTGCAGAACCCTGAAACCAGCTGTGCAGAACCCTGAAACCAGCTGTTGTGTCCTCCACCACTGCATATGAAGCAACCAAACTACACGTAGCACTCTGATGACTGTGACCATCACAGTACAGTGTCTGCTGTGCATCAGGTGGCTGTTCCCTATACAAGTTTTCATGCAATCTCATTTTAATGTCTGTCCTTCTCACACAGTCATGGTCCTGGTCTGTGACCATCTGTGTAGCCATGTTTGTTCCTTCAATTGTGAAGTGTATGTGAGCTTGGTTCAGTAACTGTTGTAAGTTCTGTGTCCTCTGTGCAGACAATGTGAATGCTTTAGAGTCCAAAAATG